TCCATGTTGTCTTGCTTTAAATATTTCTAACCAAGACTCCTAATTTTTTTTTTTTTTGCATTAAATTTAATTGAGTTCTATATTATTTAGTTTATGTGTCATGATTATTTTCTTTCCCTAGGATTAAAACCTTGCATTTGTCCACATTAAACTGCATCTGCCACTTCAACCACACCACCAGCCTGTCCAGATCATTCTGTAGTTATGTTTTTTATGTAGCTTGTGAACAACACAGGGGCCCAGTATTAACCCCAATGAAACATCACTTATAATGGGTCCTCCTGATTTTTCTCCATTTATGCATATTTCTTTTTTTTTCTATAAGTCAGTCATGCCTAGTGGTTTGTCAAATTCAAGAATAATAATACTGTGCCGTAATTTCACTACACTAGACCAACCATTGGTTTACTACAGTAGAGTTTTGACTTCCAGTTGTAGTGTTAGCAAGGTAACCTTCATGGGTGTCCCGTAGCTCAATCACTAACGTATTCAGCTCACATACTGAGGTCCGGAATTCAAATCTCCTCCAGTATGGCTGGAAAACATTAAGGACGTGTTTCCATAAAACACCTGCTGTCCCTGTTCACCCAGTGTCTGGGTTCGATTCCCAGCCAGGGTAGAAACATTGGGCTTGTTTCTTTATACCTGTTGTCCATGTTCACCCATCAGTACAATGGGTACCTGGGTGTTAGTCAACTGGTGTGGGTCGTATCCTGGGACACTGACCTAATTTGCCCGAAATGCTCAGCACAACAAAGGGCTTTCTATATATGTAGTAGTATGTCATCGATGTCAGCTAGGCCTGTAATACCTTGTACATGTACTTGTTGCAAAAAAAAGATATTATTATTTTGATTATATTATCAGTAAAATGGTACCTGGATAAGTTGACTGGTGTGGGTCATAACCGTAAGAAACTGACCTAATTTGCCCAAATGCTCTGCATAACAAGAGGCTTTCGTGGACCCCCCCTTTACGAACACTCCCAATGCGACCAATGATGTAAGAGGAGTAATGCGTTGTACGTGTATGTTTTGAGGGGCTAAATGAACTAATATTAATTCACAATAATTCCTTATATATTGGGAAGCAGCTTCGTTTCAGTAAATGGCACACTGAACATACAGTGGACCCCGCATGCGGCCGATATTAATCGTGCAAGCAAGCTCATTGTTATGCGAGTTTCGTATGCGATGAAATTTCCCCATAGAAGAAAGAATGGAAATCAAATAAATCCCGTGCAAGACAACCCCAAAGTATAAAAAAAAATTTTACCACATAAATATTAATTTTAATACACACAAACTGAAAAGGCATGCACATTACATACACTTACTTTAATTGAAGATCTGGTGATGCTTGACGATGATGGCGAGGAGAAGTGTTAGTGTTGTAGAAGGGGAAGCCCCTTCCAATAAGACTTTGAGGGTCAAGTCCTTTTCTTGGGGTTACTTCCTCCTTCATTTAATGCCACTAGGACCAGCTTCAGAGTCACTGGACTTCTGCGCACAACGAATGACCATAGTGGCCAGTACCTCTCTTCCTTTATGACTTCCCCCCCCCCTTAAAGTGTTTCACAAACATATGTCAGTGTAATAGTCACCACACTGCTTGCAATAGCTGTGTGAGGGTGATTTTCATCCATGAAGGTTGCAACTTCAACCACTTGCACAGATTTCCTTAATCTTTGTAGTAGGCAATTTCTTTCTTCAATTTCTCTCTCCCCTCCTTCGAAACCAGTTCCTCAGTCTGCCTCTTGCTTGTAATTTGATTCTATCAGCTCCATCAGTGTTTATTTCTTCATTGTCCCCTCCACCAATTCTTCCACATCATCCCCACTAACCTCCAACCCCAAGGACTTTCCCAATGCCATAATGGAAGTTCCTCAACTGCATAGGTTCCCAGGGTTAGCCCTCAAACCCGTCAAAATCCCTTTGGTTTACACATTCTGGCCACAATTTTCTTCCAAGCAGAGTTCAAGGTCCTCCTTAGTCACTCCCTCCCAACCTTAACTATAAGGTTTTTACACAATTGAGGATATTTAAAGTGATCTCTCCAAAAGTCTCTAGAGTCAGTTGATTTCTGAGGTCGCTACCAAAAAAAAGCACCTTTCAAACAGCGCTTTTGTGTACAGTTTTTTGAAGTTTGCAATAACTGCTGGTCCATGGGCTGCAGGAGAGAGTGGTATTAGGAGCAAAAACTTCACCTTAATGAATTTCATGCCCATAAAGTCGCTCTGCACGTCTGTAGATGACCAGGGGCATTGTCTAACAAACCAGGAGGCACTAAGTTCTAATTTCTTTTCAGTTAGGTAATCTTTCACATTGGGCAATGCATGGTGTAACCAGTCATAGAAAAAGTCCCTAGTGGACACATGCCTTACTGTTTGCCCTCCACAGCACACAGCAAAGTTTCCTTGAGGACATTCTTTTGCCTGAACGTCCGGGAGTTTCAGAGTGATACACTATAAAGGCTACACTTTGCAATCACAGTAGCCAATGGAACACATCAACAGAGTAAGCTTACCTGTCTTTCATAGGCTTATGTGTCCAGGGAGTTGCCTTTTCCTCCTGATTAGCTGTAGGTCCTGCTTGGCCTTTTCATCAGTCCAAACGAACAAGGCCTGTTTCATCACAATTAACCACTTGTTCAGTTTCATCCTCAGTTTTCTATTACTCCTTGAATTCCGCACATATTTTTTCAGCTGCTTTGTGATCCAACTGGCAGCCTCACCATCCTTATCACACTATGTATGCCACTACGACGCCTCTTAAATCACTCAAACCAACCTTTGCTGCCTTAAATTCACTCACATCATCACTAGTTGCAGGCATTTTTTTAATTAAATCCTGATGCAACTTCCTAGCCTTTTCACTTAGAATCACGTGAGAGATGCTATCATCTCTATCTGGTTTTGCTCATTTATCCACACCATAACAGCTCTCAACATCTGCCATCACTTGCGAGCTCTGGTTCGAAAACACATTAAAACCTTTGGCAAGAACAGCTGCCTTGATTGCCTTTTGTTGCCACACAATAGTAGCAATGGTGATTGGGGTTTACTATAACAACCTGGCCACTCGGAGACAACGCACTCCACTTCATACATATCAGATCCTCTTTCTTCCCACTCTATAGTAATTCTCACCCTTATTTCCTGTAGGGTTTGGCACTAGAAGCTTTCTTGGGGCCCAATGGTCCCACTTATGCAGATAAAATCACCAGAAACACGGTAATAATAACAAATGATTCCGATTGTATGCTTGGATGTTACGCGGAGTCTGGCGGTAAACAATGCCCAACCAGCGGAACTGTGAGGCTTAGTCTAGGGCGCACATTAGACGCGTCCTCGGACGAACAGAGTTGAGCGGGTTTTTTAGCGGTATGCGAGGCAAAATCTTGGCGATAAAATGTAGCGGTATGCGGATTTAACGTTATGTGATGCCAACGGTATGCGGGGGTCCACTGTACTTCTGGAATGAAATAATATCGTAAACCGGGGGTCCACTGTAGTAGTATGTCATTGATGTCAGCTAGCCCTGTATACCATGTACATGTACTTGTAGTAAATGAAGATATTACAGTATTATTGTTACTGTATTATTATTATGGATTCAGAAAAACTGGGTAGCTGTGCTTGAGTCTTAGAGGTTGGAAATACAGAAACTGCACTCTTGTTTGCACATTTCTGGCAAGACATCTAGGTAGTACTGTATATGCTGAATAACTGATTTTTTTTTTTTTTTTTGTGGGGTAGGAGGAACCATATCTTGGTGGGAAACTGTCAGAATGGTTTAAAAGAAAAAGTATATAATGTGAGCTGCCAAGAATTGGATTAGCTCACATAATACTGTACAAAGTCTATGAAGGGGGCAAGATATGTAGCATAATTAAAAAATCAGATAATACAGTCTAATGTATAATGTTATATGATATCCCATATAACATTAATAACAACAATAATAATTATAATAATAATAGCAAGGGGCTAGTAACCCCTTCTCCTATATAAATTACAGTACTAAATACTGTATAAAAAAAACTTAAGTTTCTCTTTTTAGGTCACCCTGCCTCAGTGGGATACAGCTGGTGCGGTGAAGTAATAATAATAATAATTAATAATAAATAAAATAATAATATATGTTACTATGCCTGTGTTCAGTGCTTTAGTAAACTGTTAGAAAGGCAGTAATATTTATAATCAAGTACAATGTTTTTATCTTGTAAAGAATTTTATGTCAGTGTACAATTTGTAAAGAAAGAAGTCTTCAGCAGTCTACATCTGTAGGACAGGAACTTTGCTGTATGTGTCTGCTTTGTATGCGCTTTGTCTTTAAAATGAGTTTGATACAGGCTAATTCCCAAATATTGTATAAAGTAGTTTTAATTTCTACACTGAGCAAATTACATCAAGATAAAGTAAAAAATAGGATAAAATATAAATGCTTATGAATAAATTAAATCAAGTCAGTAAGGAGGATAGAAATGTAAACATGTAAGAATGTTCATATGTCAGTGTATTACACAGCAAATGGAAGGATATTAGACAAAATAGACTGTCAGTTGACTTAGTGTACTAGAAGCCCTGAAAAGATAGCCACCACTTGTTAAACTTCACCCTGCATTTTGTGAAAAAGATAAATGCACAAAACCATAAGAAGTGTTCTGAACTTAATACATTAAAAGAAGAAAGTTATGATCACCAGAGTTGCAGCAGGTATGTTTCATAATTTTGTCCAGTTTTGTAGTTCATAAGTTAAATTCAGTAATGTACTCTAGTTGAAAGTTATTGTGGCTAATTATTGTACAGTACTACTGTACTTATAATCATTGTCTATACACCTGGGTTACTGTAACACACCTCAATAATATGAAATTTTTATTTAATTTTTTCGTTGGTAAAAAAGAAAATGATTACTACTGTGCAATAGTAATATCCAATTAAATATAAGATCTCTATTTTTATACCCATTGTGTATAGGTACAGTACTCTTTTACAGAGATACTACAAAGACTTGCTTCAACTGCTTTGTTTTCAACAAGCAGAAGCGTACCTCTTCATGTGATGGCATCAGGTAAGTAATGTCTTAGTTTATGATATGCTTGAATTTGCTTTGCCAATGATAAAAATATAAACTAGGGATAAATTTATTCAGGGAATTGAAGAAGTATTTGGGGAAGTTTTGGAGAATAGGTATGTGGTTGAGAAAGTGTATGTGAGAGTACAGCACTCAAAAGTTTTGCTTTCATTAACAGCAGTTAATAATCGATGGATTTATTTTCCCAATTTTTAAAAAAATATACTCTTCTAAAGTGATCAAATTTTTTAAAGTTAAAAGCAGGACTATAGGAAAAGAAAGGATTACACTTGTTTCATAGCAAATTACAGTCATACCCCACTGTACGTCATTTTAGCTTACATCAAATTTGGCTTTACACCACTTTTCTAGAGTAAATAAAAGCTAAAAAACAATTTAAAATACAATAAAATCACATTAAAAACCTAAAAAAAAAAAATGTATACATATACAATAAAATATATAAAAAAATTGTTAACACATATCCGTCATTACGCAGCTCCGCCATCTTGTTGCATGGCGGTATTGCTGCTGTTTCTTAGTCAGAACACAGGTGATGCCATGTGCATTTTTGCCCGTGCTGCAACCGTGTAGTTGTTTTGCCTTTTGCTGTTATTTTTGTAATTATTCCTTTACTGTGTCTGTGTTAGCCATGGGTCCTAAGAAGGATAGTGCCAGTGATTCCAAGCATAATGTGATTATAATGGAAGATAAGTTAAATATGATTAAAATGTATGAAAAAGGTGAAAAAGTGTTGGTGGTAGCACATGCCGTAGGGCTGCATTTTTAAAGGCAAATCACAAGGTAAATAACATTTTTTTAATTGTGTTCATTATTCTTTAAAAATATGACTAAAATGTGTTTTAAGTGTTAAGGTTTAGCGATAGTTATATTCTTTTGCGAGTTATTTACACTAGTTATTACAGTGTTCGTCATCATTTTAAGGCATTATGTCTAGTTTATGTCAAAAACAGGGTTACATTGTGGCTCTTGGAACCAATTAATGATGTAGGGGTATAACTGTATTTTCTTTATTAATTTAGCAATTTATTTTGGAAAACTAGAATTACAAACAGATTTGTTTGAAATTTATCTTAGTTACTGGTGAAGTCTTGAAAATTGGCACTTGAGGTTATGATTTTTCTAATGTCCTCAACCTATTCAGTTAAGAGAAAACAAATTAAAAGGAAAATTCCAGAATTTCTAGAATGTATTGATAACTGTTATCTCATTTTGTTTAAATGAGTTCAAATATCTGTTTAGCATTTGACAGTTTATATCTGAAATGCACTGTACTTGGTGTTTAGTAATTTTTATTGCATTCTTATCTCCAGTTGGTCCAGTAGAGGCAGCTATTAAGAAAAAGCTGGAAGATGCATTACATCCCACCTACATAGAGATTATAAATGAATCATCCATGCATACTGTAACCATCTGGCGCGGAAACCATTTTCAATTCTTTGGTCCTCAGAAGGATTCAATGACATGTGTCTCCTGATCAAGGTAAATTTTGTTATTATATAATCAAATCCGTACAGGTAAGTACATTAATCTATCAGCCATCTATGATGTGTTGGGGGGGGTGCTGTTAAAAATTTCCTAGCCCTTTGCCCGTGAAAAAATATATAGGCTTTCCTAATCACTTAACCCGTAAAACGGTCCAAACGATATAATACATTTTTTTGTCAACATTAGAAAGTATGTAAAAAATAGTATCTTTTTTTTTTTTTTAATTTGAAAACGTGTACAAAACTTTGATCTACTTTTTTTTGTTGTTGTATTTGAACATATATAAAAAAACGTAGATCTACTTTTGGAGCACTACGCATATGAACGTAGATCTGCTTGGACTGTTCACGGGTTAATTGAAGTTCTCTCTCTCTCAAATTACTCTCCTTTGGAGGCTATATACTGATCCCTGCTCTTCTGCCACTTCTCAAAACATTTCAGAGCTCTTCTTTCCTAACAGCATCTAGAACAGCCTACGGCTCTGCTTAAATCTCCTCCACATCACTGTTACCCACCCAGTTAGTGCCATTGTGATTTTTGAGAAGAGAAAGCAGCCATCGGGAGCTAGATCTGGGGAAATAGGGAGGTTTGGGGATAGACTGCTCATGTTGGTTTATACTAGCAAATGAGAGACTTTAATGAAATTTTGCCTTACTGAATGTTTAAATAATAAGGAATATGGGATAAAAATTCTAAAATGAGGAAACTGTAAATTACATATACATATACTAGAGCCTTATTTGGCATAACCCCTGTACGTATATATAAATTGTCAAAACATGATTTGTAAAGGTTAACCCAAAATTTTCTCAAAGCAAGAATCATGTTAGAGAACAGTGAAAAAATATAAAAAATTCAAATTTCACATTCTCCGTTACTCAGTTCCTTGTACACATCACCCAACTTTGATTTCCTCCCATCATACACATTAATTCATCCTGACATCATTAAAGCGGATGAATGGTGAAAAAAGACACAAGCAGCAGTGAAGTCTTTTATCAGTACAGCATTTCACCCACAAGTGCGCTTTTACATGTACTGTATGTTGTATTTTGTAAAGCCTCTGTTTGGGTAAAACATGTTAATAAAGAACTTCACTGCTACTGTTGTTTTTTTCACCACTTGTCAGCATTTCTGAATATTAAAAATATTTCACTAAAACTTAGTGAACATGCCCCACCACATGCTCCACCACTTGCCCCGCCACACCCTCCACCGCAAGTTCCACCACTTGCCCCACCACATGCCCCACCATACGCTCCACCATTTGCCCCACCACACACTCCACCACTTGCCCTACCACATGCTCCACTGCAGGCTCCACCACATGCTCCACTGCAGGCTCCACCACATGCTTCACCACACAATCCCACAACATGCTTCACCACACACCCCAACCACACCTCCACTACTTGCCCCACCAACAAGCTCCACCACACGCTCCAACGCACTTGCCCCACCACACCTCCACTACTTGCCCCCACCACTAACTCGCCAGCATTCCTCCATCCTGTGGGTGCTGAGGAATGAACCTAAACAGACTAATTAGAGCTGTTACAATTTCCTGTTGGTGATGATCTGATGTAATTGTAAGAAGTTTAAGAAGAGGTTGCAGACAGTTATGATATGAATTCTAACTGCATGCAGTTATTCAGCATTTGAGGATGATGTTTAAAAAAGAAGGAAGAAAAACAGGGTAGTATGAATTACCACAATGTGCAAAAAAATAATAGAGTATATAATATAAGCAAATGGGTCCAAAATAGTGGAGTTAAACTCACAGTAGAGAATTTGGACATGCTGTTGGAGTGTGAGCAAAGGCATTTAAATGTAAGAAAGGACTAGAGAAACCAACTATCTGAACAGAGTTTGAAAAGTTGGGAAATATAGTACTATACACCTGCTTAACCCTTTCACTATTTCCCATGTAGATCTATGCCATTGAGGCCAGTGTTACTTACATAGATCTACGTCTTAATCCAAAGCCCCAATTAATTTTTGTCTATTTGAGCTTTAAACTAGGCCTTAAAGTGGACAAAATCATGGATGCATAGATTGCACCCAGACCACCAACTTTGTGCCTGTGTAATTCTGCAAGTTTTCCATCAAATTTCACATTTTTTTGTGTTACTGTCTTCAGAAAACAATGACCATTTTAAAATATAAAATTATTATTATTATTTTGAAAAATCACAACACTGATAGCACTTTAATTTCAAGGGTCATGACAGTTAGAGGGTTAAAGTGTAAGGTAAGGAGATTGTAATTCAGGGTATCAAAGTTTTAACTTCAATGTCTGGAAAGGCAACTAGAATGTGATTGGCCATCTTGCCTAGGTGGAAAATGGTTAAAAATTAAAAGTAATATGTGTATATATTTACATTATATACCACATGAATTAAGTAAAAATGCATTTTTCCTAATTGCAGCGTCATCGACTTGTGAATACTGCACTGAGTGAGGAGCTGCAAGCTGGAGTCCATGCCCTGTCCATTATAGTAAGTGTTGTGTAGGCTGGTAAAGTGAGACTCTGTTTGTAAAATATTAATAAAGATTGAGGAATAAAAGTCAGGATACAGTTGACCATCGGTTTACACAATAGTTTCATTCCAGAAAACTGCATGTAATTAAAAAAAATCATTTAACATAAACTGAGGAACATATGGGAAAAAATAGTTATATCCCTTACCTCCCAAAAAGCCACTTAATTTTTTTTTAGATCTTGAAATTGTAAAAACAATGATAATAGTGTTAATAGTGCAGAATGTATTAGAACGTGGGGCAGAAGTTTGTGGTTATAGGATGTGGGTGTAGGAGGAAAGAGAAGTGATTGGTGGAATGATGAGGTAAAGTGTGTGATAAAAGAGAAGATAGCTTATGAGAGGTTTTTACAAAGCAGAAGCGATGTAAGAAGGGCAGAATATATAGACAGTAAAAGAAAGGTGAAGAGAGTGGTGAGAGAATACAAAAGGAGAGCAAACGATATAGTGGGAGAGGCACTATCAAGAAATTTAGCTGAGGATAAGAAAAATTTTTGGAGTGAGATAAACAAGTTAAGAAAGCCTAGGGAATGAATGGATTTGTCAGTTAAAAACAGAAGGGGACTCAGTAGATGGGGAGCTGGAGGTACTGGGTAAAGGGCAGGAAATATTTTGAGAAACTTTTAAAATGTAGAGGAAGCAAGGGAGGTAGTACTTTCATCACTGGCAGGGAGGTATAACATCGTTTAGGAGTGGCAAGAAGAGCAGGATGTAGTGTGGGGGGAGGTGCTGAGGCATTTATGTAGAATGAAAGGGTGTAAAACAGCTGGAAACTGTTGGATCATGACAGAGATGTTTAAAAGCATGGGGAATTAAAAGTGTTGGAGGTGGTTGGGTATTTTTGTTTAATGTATTTAGAGGGAAGGTACCCAGAATTGGCAGAGAGCATGTAAAATCCCTTTATCATAAAGGGAAGGGGGACAAGAGAGAGAATTGTAAAAATTAAAGGGGAAATAAGTTTACTGTGTCCTAGGTAGTATGTTGGTAGAACAGGCAACCGCTCCAGGAGGGAATACCGTTCCTGCCAAGTGAGTGTAAAACGAAAACCTGTAATATAATTTACATTGATGGTAGGATTGCGGGTGTCCTTTTTTTCTCTCCAACATGGCAATATTCCAGGTATGTCCTTGCTACTCCTACTTACACTTAGTTCACACTACAACAGACATGTACTTGTACAAGCCTATATATACACCCCCTATGGGTTTTCTGCATTTTTCTTTCTAGTTCTTGTCTTGGTTTTATTTCCTCGTATCTCCCTGGGAAGTGAACAGAATCTTCCTCGTAAGCCATGCTGTTTTGTAAGAGGCGACTAAAAGCCGGAAAGCAAGGGGCTTGTAACCTCTTCTCCTGTATACATTCTAAATTTAAAAAGATAAACTTTTTGTTTTTCTTTTTTGGGCCAACCGCTGCCGTCGTGTGGGATAATACGGCCGGTTTGGTTGAAAGAAGTAGTTTACTGAGTATACCAGTAAAGTGTAATGGTAGGGTTATTATTGAAAGAATTAAGGAAAGACAAAGAACAAAGAGCAGAATGAACAATGAGATTGTCGAGTGGTTAGGGATGTTAGATAGAGTGTTTTAACATTGAGCATGTATGTGAAAAGTATTTACATAAAGGAGGGAAGTTTTTCATGCATTTTTGGATTTAGACAAGGCATATGCTAGAATAGATAGGGGAGCAATGTGGCAGATGTTGGAAGTGTATGGAATAGGTAGTAAGTTACTAAATGCTGTAAAGAGTTTTTATGAGGATAGTGAGACTCAGGTTAGGGTGTGTAGATGAGAGGGAGTGTTAGGTAAGACAATATGCAACAGTAGGTATCAACTTCAAAATGTTTTCTACACAGAAGGCATCTTCAGTGAAGTATAGAACAGTTGTAGAAGCAGAAAGATTTCAAACAACGTAATCAGTCCATCACCCTTGAAGACGGTTTTGAAGTGGTCAGTCTCTCAGCCTGGAGAAGAGTATTTGTTCCATAGTTTGAAACATTGTGAAGTTGAAGTGACAGTATGGAGCCTTATATACTGTCAGGAGGTGAGCTGTAGGCCACTAGTAGAAGAAAGAATGTAATCGTTGAGAGGTCACGTCCCTCTCAAATAAAACTATTCTTACTTGTAGAATTTGTCCAAGATGTTTTCTGATCTTTACCAAGATACCATTGTGTTGCAGTGTCTAACAGAGTGAATATTTTAATATTCATTCAGGAGAGAGGGAGATTACTTCCCAGTAAAAGTAGGTCTTAGACAGTGATGTGTAATGTCACCATGGTTGTTTAACATATTTATAGATGGGGTTGTAAAAGAAGTAAATGCTAGGGTGTTGGGGAGAGGGGTGGGATAAAATTATGGGGAATCAGATACAAAATGGGAGTTGACAAAGTTACTGTTTGCTGATGAAACTGTGCTCTTGGGGGATTCTAAAGAAAGCTGCAAAGCGATCAGTGATGAATTTGGAGGGAGTGTAAGGTAGAAAGTTGAAAGTGAACATAGATAAGAGTAAGTGATGAGGGTATCAAACAATTTAGATAAAGAAAAATTGGATATCACTATTGGAGGAAGGGAGTACGGAAGAAGTCATGTTTTCAATATTATGGCGTTTGACATGTCAGTGGATGGTTTGTATGAAGGATGCGGTTTACCACAGCAATTTGATGAGGAAAAAGGTGATGGGTGCTTGAGGTGTCTGTGGAAAAACAAAGAACGTAGTCCATGGAGGCAAAGAAAGGAATGTACAAGAGTATAGTGTACCGAAGCCACTCGTATATGGGTGTGAAGCATTGGGTTTGTAAATGCTGGCAACCAGAGGCAGCTGGAGGCAGAGGAGATGTCTCTGTCTAAGGGCATGTGTGGTGTAAATGTTATCAGAGAATTTCAAAGTGTGGCAATTAGTGAGGAGGTATGGAGTTACTAAAGTATTAGTCAGAGGGCTGTAAGTTGGTTTGGTCATTTAGGTAAAGAATGGAGCAAGTAGAATGACTTGAAGAGCGTATAAATTTGTAGAAGGAAGGCGAGGTAGGGGTCATCCCTGAAAAGGTTGGAATGAGAGGGGGTAAAGGAGGTTTGTTGCGCACAGGGCCTTGGACTTCCACAAACATTTGTGAGCATGTTACCAAGGAGTGAAAGAACGAATGTTTTTGGGACCGGATGAGCTGTTGGAGTGTGAGCAGGGTAAAATTTTGTGAAGGGATTCAGAACCAGTTAGCCGGACTTGCGTCCCTGGAAATGGTAAGGACATGCATGCACTTTAGAGAGGGGTTGGATATAGACATTTGGAGGATTGTACCTAAGCTGTCCATGTCTGAGCACCTCTGCAAAGAAGTGTTTATGTGTGGAGTTCTGGTGAAAGTGTTGAATGATAATGAAAGTTTTTGTTCTGTTCTTTTTGTGTTGTTTTATTTCTTTGGTCCCCTGCCTCCATGGAAAAGGCCAATGAGTTAAAAAAAAAATTGTAATTGTAGACTGATATAGTAAGTTGCATTAGTCAAAGATCCCGCACCCACAAAATAGTCTGCTAGCAAAGGGAAGGCGTCTTATTATTTGGTTGGCCTACTTGTACAGCAATAAGGAGCCTTAAAGGGAGGGGGTTAATAGTGGTTCTTTATATGAGTCATAATATTCTCAGCCTTCAGCATTGTGCCTTTGCATCCAGTTATTTTGAAATGATTCAAGGGAATTACAAAACATCAAGTCCGAATAGGAAGATGTCACTTGACTTATCTCGCAGCATAGAAGAATGGTGGGTTCAGCACTGTAAAATCTGCCTTGAAACTTAGTGGTTTAAATATCTGGGGCAAAATTATAAGATAATTACGCACACATAGTCAGTGACTAACAGTATAAGATAAGATAAGATAAGATTTTCTTTTGGAATTTTTTAAACCCCGAGGGTAGCCACCCAGGATAACCCAAGAAAGTAAGTGCGTCATCGAGGGACTGTCTACGATATTTCCATTGGGTCCTTAATCTTGTCCCCCAGGATTGCGACCCACACCAGGCGACTAACACCCAGGTACCTATTTGCTGCCTAGGTGAACAGGCAACAGGTTAAGGAAACGTTGTCGAAATGTTTCCAACCCAGGCCGGGAATCGAACCCAGGCCCTCCGTGTGTGAAGCGGAGCTTTACCCCAGGCACTGGGCCACCTTTGGCCTGGTGGCCAAAAAGAATCAAACCTTTAACAGGCTTGATAGTAAACCTAACAACTAATGTAAAGTACAGGATAGTATTGTAATCCTATCATCTTTGCTCTGCTGGGAATATATATTTAATTTAGGACATAAGTACATATTGTAAGGTAGTAGTTGTAGACAGCAACCGCCCGGGGAGGTACTACCGTCCTGCCAAGTGAGTTTACAAACGAATCTCTGTAATTGTTTTTACATGAAGGTAGGATTGCTGAGGTGTCTTTTTCTGTCTCTTATACATGCAAGTTTCAGGTACGTCTTGCACTTCTTCTTACACGTGGGTCACACTACACATACAGTACAAGCATATATCAACACACTACACCCCTCCTGTTTTCTTCTATTTCTTTCTAGTTATAGTTCATGTTTATTTTCCTCTTATCTCCTTGGGGAAGTGGAAAACAGAATTCTTCCTCCTAAGCATTGCGTGTTGGACGAGGCGATAAAATGCCGGGAGCAAGGGCCTTGTAACCCCTTCTCTGTATAAATTACTAAATATAAAAAGAGAAACTTTCATTTTTTTCTTTTTGGGCCACCCTGCCTTGGGGATAGCCGTTTGTTGAAAAAAAAAATAAGTACATATATGATTGTGAATTTTTTTCTCTACACTTGAAAAAAAGCTGTAGTAGACAAAATGTTGTCTGTAAAGTACTATCTACCTTTTTTCATTATTTCCTGTGAATCATCTTTAAAAATTTACATTTTTCCCTAATTTAGTACAGTGGGACACCTCTCTTTTCGTTGGTCTCTGTTTTTTCGCTGAATTTGTTCT